ACTCAATCATCAAGGTATCATTACCATGTTTTTAACTTTAATCTTCAGTGCCTAAGAGACTCATGCTTCTTAATTCACGTTCTATCATCATTGGGGAGTGGGGGGGGGGGGGGGCAGGATCACCTTAACTGGCCTATACTAGATTAAACTTGGGCAGTAGATTTTTGTTTTCCACACTAGATTTCTTGTTCCAAGTTATATGTTTATATAACTTTTGTGCTTTGATGATCGAAATCAAATTAAGATCTGTTAAACAGAATGTACCTTAAGCGTGATAAAGATTTCAAAAATTGATATGTAACACACACAGCATTAATTCTTAGATTTGGGCTTAGTTTATATTAGGAGGCTAAACATTCTGCAGTGATTTGGAAATGAGAATTGGCTAGCTAGCATTATTACATAGTACACTATTGCAGCATGACATGCATTGGGCTAAATCGACAGGAGATTCCTTTGTCAGGGGAAGGTGATTCTGGAAACTCCCATTAGAGTAGAATTCTCTGGATCCAACCCATTGACGTTTTGTTAATATACTATATAATATACTATTAACAAGAGGTTTCAAGCACTATCCCCAAGTGAAGGAAAAAATAGTTTGAAGCTCTCCTATGGAATGGGGACAAAAAGTACGGTACTTTGATTGCTTTTAACAACTCTCAAGTAATATGTCCTGCCATGAATAGGAAGCTGTTTCAATCATCTCTTGGTGTCAACAACCAACAAAGAATGCGAGAAGGCCCTCAGCTACCTTCTCTATAATGACTGAGAAATGGGAGGGGACGAGGAATAAACTAAACTGGATGGCTGGGAATGGTATTAAAGAGAAACACAACACCTCATACTAGTGTTCACTCAGATGCTGAGCATATGCCTCAAGAAGTCTATACACTTAAACAAATACTTTATACAATGATTTGCACTAATTAAGGTTGTGCATGTAACTTCAGAATGACACTCATGCCTACTTTGGGCCAAGTAAAAGAACTACCAACACCTTTCCCCCCAGATATTCCCAGATTTCACGGAGTTGCTGAAGTAAATATGAAGAGACAGACGTAGAAAGCAAATGTGAACAATGGAGGCCAAGGTGCAGGTTGCTAAGGAAGAGATTTCGGACATTTGCTTTCTACAAATATCCTCAGGTTTCCCAGTGTCTTCCTAGGAGGTATTTTGGAAATATATGGGCAGGGGATCTAGACTTAGGAAACATCAGGCAGGGTAATAACAACGGCTTGTTGCCTTAAAACAGACATTTTGACTTCTCCCAACCTGCTTGTGAGCAAACTGACAATTTACTTATAGTGATATTTTTGCAAGGTATTTAATTGCCTAGTTCACAATATGAATTTGTCCAGCTTGCAGTGCTTGGCTATTTACCCCCAAAGTTACAAGTGAAGTTATTGTTCAGAGACGCTGGTAGAAGGAATTATTTGTTTTATAACTGGAGAGCCAGTGTGGTGTAGTGGTTAAGACCAGTGGAATAAACTGGTGAACCAGGTTCACTTCCCTGCTCCTCCACATGCAGCTGCTGGGTGACCCTGGGCTAGTCACACTTCTCTGAAGTCTCTCAGCCCCACTCACCTCACAGAGTGTTTGTTGTGGGGGAGGAAGGGAAAGGAGAATGTTAGCCGCTTTGAGACTCCTTAAAGGGAGTGAAAGGCGGGATATCAAATCCAAACTCTTCTTCTTATTATTTTTGTATTTTGCCCTTTGTACTTTCTTTAGGAGGAATGCCTCCTCCTCATTGTTGCTCTTGTTAAAATTTATCAGCCATCTTTCATAGAATTGTAGAGTTGGAAGGGACCCTGAGGATCATCTAGTCCAACCCCCTGCAATGCAGGAACATGCAGCTCTCCCATATGGTGGTTGACCCTGCAACCTTGGTGTTATCAGCACCTGGTTCAAACCAACTGATCTATCCAGTCCTCTATTTTCCTACTGTGGCTTACAACATTTTAAATTATTAGAAACCATATACAAGATAAACAACATAATCACAATCATAATAAGAACATCAAAAAACATTTCATAACAATATATTACAGTCAGACAAAAGTCTGTCTATTAAACCTCCTTATTAAAAGCAAAAACAAGTTTGGAGCCTGCCTAAGCACTGCCAGCGAGTGCGCTGATTATGTATCTCAGGGGAGGGAATTCCATATTTGTGGGGCCATCTCAGAAAAGTCCCTGTCCATTGTACTTGTCAGGCTGACCTTTCTTTCCTTCCTCGGAGGCATCTCTGTAGCTTCCCTCAAATCCTTGATTGGTTCACATGGCTGTATGCCCTCCGGTCATTAAGAAGCCCTATTTAATTTCTGAGTAAATGTGCATGGGGTTCAGAATATAACCTTGGAACAGGCAAGAAGTGTGTGAGCTGATTCACAAAAGATGTTCCGAGGGGGGAAAATTATTGTGTTTTGAAATTCAATTGTTGTCCAGATACTGCTAAAACAATCAATATCACCTGTGTGTATGTTATGGCTGTTTTTAATCACAGCTGAAAAATCAATGTCTGTACGAGGCTGTGAATAATTCAAACTACATATGCAGAGCAGAAGTCCTGATTGCTGGCTTGTGCAATCTTGCTGTAGTTAACTGGCTGTGATGGATATAAGGCTTATCTCTGCATAAAAAAGTGCACTGCGAATTTATGGCACCATTTGAGCTATGACAGAGGCAGATTTTATGGTAATTTCTGCCGCAACACCTTTTCCAGCAAACACATCCTATCATCATCCGCCTTAAGTCATGGCTCTGGCTAGTCAGCCAAATTAGGTGCTGACAAGAGGATTTGGCGCTTGTACAGTCTGCATGAGGATTACTGTACAAAAGTAGCAGGTAAAAATGCAAAAAGGAGGATTAGATAGATCTTCCTCACATTCACACCACCAGCTCAAAACGATTTGACAGAATTGGCGATTCCAGAATTTCTAGAGGGAGGCAAATATTAGCAGGTACCTTCTGGCATTTATGTGTTTACATTGCTCTAAGAAGATTTACCATTAAAATTTTGTGGAGAAACAGCAGCATTTTTGTGCTATTGGACAGACACCGAGCGGGATGCTTTTCTGAACATTTCCAATATTCTTCAAAGGAATCTTTAACAAAAATTATTTTCCTAAAAAAGAATTTGACTGATTTTTTATTTAGTTTACAATATTATAATGACAGCACGTTGTGATGAATGACAGAAAATAATGAGACCTATTTTTTGAGCAGGATTTATGGGGTGTTGGAGGGGGTAGTACCTCTGGTGGGGGAAATGTAGTGCTTCTTTTGGAGTACAGTGGTACCTCGGGTTATTTACACTTCAGGTTACAGATGCTTCAGGTTACAGACTCCACTAACCCAGAAAAAGTACCTCGGGTTAAGAACTTTGCTTCAGGATGAGAACAAAAATCGCGCTGCGGCGGTGTGGCGGCAGCAGGAGGCCCCATTAGCTAAAGTGGTACCTCAGGTTAAGAACAGTTACAGGTTAAGAACGGACTTCCAGAACGAATTAAGTTCTTAACCTGAGGTACCACTGTAATCTGCTCACTTTTGGTCCCCGCTCTGCATTCAGCTCTCACCTGTGGCTCCTAGAAACTGTCAGCATGTGACAGCGGCCACACCCTGGGAACGACTTCAACTCAGCAGCTAAAGCAGGTGAGGGTAGCCAATGGGTCTCAAACCCCTGGCGAGTTAGGCACTCCCCTTCATGCAAAGACAAGTGGCGAGTATTGTGGTTGAGACAGATTAAGCCAGAGAAATGGGTCCAAAGGTCAAGAAGGCGGTTTCTGCATGTGCTTTATTTTTTTTTTTTTTTATAATATTTTTTATTGCATTTTTCCAGATAGGAATACAAGGTCAGATATACAAAGAAATAACAGAAAAGAGAAAGAAAAAGAAGAAAATCATCTTTTCAAAACATTTTTCCATAACCAACCGGACTTCCCCCCGTCCCCCTCACCTTGCGTTCTTTACAATAAAATTTTTCAGCAAATTATAACCTTATTTCGTGCATTCTTTTGTTCTTTCAAATACTTGTGATTTGCGTTTAAAATGCTTATTGTCAATTTACACTAATAATATATATAATGTTCTTTTAAACGTTAGTCCTTTCATTAATATAGCTTAGTTTCCCATACCTTAATCTTATTGCTGGAGCTGAATTTCCCTAATCATGCGAATTCTTAACATTCATATAACTTATAAAATTTTTGTAAATAATCTTTAAATTTTTTCCAATCCTCCTCCATTGCTTCTTCCTCCAAATCTCGGATCCTGGCAGTCATCTCGGCCAATTCCATGTAGCCCATCAATTGCGTCTGCCACTCTTCCAGCGTGGGTAAATCTTGAGTCTTCCAGTATTTTGCGATAAGAATTCTTGCTGCTGTAGTTGCATACATAAAAAGGTTCTATCCTTCTTTAACACCTTCTGACCGACAATGCCCAGTAGGAAGGCCTCTGGTTTCTTGGGAAAAGTGTACTTAAACACTTTTTTAACTCGTTATAGATCATTTCCCAGAAGGCCTTCACTTTTGGGCAAGTCCACCAGAGGTGAAAGAATGTCCCTTCAGCCTCCTTACATTTCCAACATTTATTATCAGACAAATGATATATCTTAGCAAGCTTGACTGGGGTCATGTACCACCTGTATATCATTTTCATAATATTCTCTTTCAAGGCATTACATGCCGTGAATTTCATACCAGTGGTCCATAACCTTTCCCAGTCTTCAAACATAATGTTGTACCCAATGTCCTGAGCCCATTTTATCATGGCTGATTTGACTGTCTCATCCTGAGTGTTCCATTTAAGCAGCAAGATATACATTCTCGAAAGTACCTTGGTCTTTGGTTCCAACAATTCTGTCTCTAGTTTCGATTTTTCCACCTGGAAACCTGTTCTTTTGTCCAGCTTAAAAACCTCTTGAATTTGAGCATAGTGAAGCCAATTTTGCACCTTATTCTTTAATTTTTCATAACTCTGCAGCCTCCAAGTTTCTCCTACTTTTTCTATAATTTCCCCATATTTCAGCCAACCAACCTCCATATTAGGTTTTTCCGGGCCTTGGCCTCTGCTGGTGAAAGCCACCTCGGAGTCTTACCCTCTAATAAGTCCTTGTATTTTGTCCAGACCATAAATATTGATTTTCTAACAATATGATTTTTGAACATTTTATGAACCTTTACCTTGTCGTACCACAAATATGCATGCCAACCAAAAGCATTATCAAACCCTTCCAGATCTAGAACATCAGTGTTCTCAAGAAGTAACCAATCTTTCATCCAGCAGAAGGCCGCAGCTTCATAATATAATCTCAAGTCCGGCAGGGCAAACCCCCCTCTTTCTTTCAAATCAGTTAGTATTTTAAACTTTATCCGGGGCTTTTGCCCTGCCAGACAAACTTGGATATATCCTTCTGCCACTTTCCAAAACATTCCACTCTGTCCACAATCTGTAGGGTTTGAAACAAAAATAACATTTTCGGCAATACATTCATTTTTATAGCAGCAATTCGACCCAACAAGGAAAGTTTCAATCTTGACCAGATTTCCAAATCTTTTTTGATTTCCAGCCAACATTTTTCATAGTTGTCTTTAAATAGATTCAAATTTTTCGCTGACAAGTGAACCCCTAGGTATTTCACTTTTTTTACCACACTTAGTTCTGTTTCCTTCTGAAACCCATCTATTTCTGAGGGTGTCAAGTTTTTCCCCAAAACCTTAGTTTTTGCTTATTCAACTTAAATCCCGCCACCCGACCAAACTCATGAATCAATTCTAATACTCTTTTTGTACTAGATTCTGGCTCCTGTAATGTTAAAACCAAATCATCTGCAAAAGCTTTCAATTTATATTGTTTCGCTCCGACCTGTATTCCTTGTATCAACCGGTCCTTCCTAATCATGTTCAGTAACACCTCCAGGACTGAAATAAATAAAAGGGGGGATAGGGGGCACCCTTGTCGTGTCCCTTTTTCAATTTTGAACTCATCTGTCACCACATTGTTTACTATCAGTTTAGCTTTTTGCTCAGAATAAATTGCTTCTATTCCATTTTCAAACCCCCGTCCCACTCCCATCCCTTCCAGGTTTCTCTTCATAAACATCCAAGAAATATTATCAAAGGCCTTCTCCGCGTCGATGAAAATTAACACAGCTTTCGTATTGATATTAGTTTGTAAAAGTTCCAAAATATCAATAATGTTCCTGGTATTATCAAAAGATGTCTCCCTGGGAGAAAGCCTGCCTGGTCCTTATGAATTACTTCGTTAAGTATTTTTTAAGTCTGCTCGCCAAAATATCAGCAAAAATTTTGTAATCCACATTTAGGAGTGAGATGGGACGGTAGTTCTTAAGCTGAGTCTTTTCAGATTCCAATTTAGGAATCAATGTGATGAAAGCTTCTTTCCACGTTTCCGGTGCCCTCCTCCCCTCCATAATCTGGTTACAGACCTCCATTAGTGGTTGTATCAAATAGTCTTTTAGTGTCTTATAGTACTTGGAGGTAAGTCCATCTGGGCCTGGAGATTTGCCTAGTTGCATATTCTGAATGGCACCCTCTATTTCCTGTCGTGTTATTCTATTATTTAAGATTGTCCTCTTCTCCTGAGATAGTTTGGATAGACCGTTAACTTTTAAAAATTGATCTATCTCAGACGCTTCCTGAGGCCCTTGTGTATAAAGTTTTTTGAAATATTTCTGGAAACACTTTCTAATTTCTTCTGGTTTCTGAATGTTTCTCCCTTCCAAGGTTTCTGCATGTGCTTTAGAGGGAAGTCATGGGCAGGTAGGTGGGGCTCATCTACCTGGGAAAGGAGCCCATCTGGGAGAAGGAAAAGTCTGATCTTAAACCTCTGCTGCCTTGCAGGGTATCTTCAGAAGAAAAGGCTAAGCAGTAAACCCGACACAAATTGAGAGCGTAGACCCAAACATGGCTGGATGGCACCTTGTACGCCTCCTTCTGGCAACTCCTGCAACCAAGTTGGTGCCAAATGTATTGCTCTGCCTTACTTTGGACAACATCAGTGAGGCCAAAAGAGGGGGTCTTGTTGTCTGGGCACCCCAGGAGCTCCATACACACTGCCCAGGTTTGTGCTCTGGGGAGCTCACTTCAGTGCTGCTAACACAACAGTTTGACTTCACCTCCAGAGGTGCACACTATTGTTTCTTAAGACTGACGGATGCATTCATCCCAATTTGCTTGCAGAAAGCTTATGCGGAGTTTGGATTATATTCCACCTTTACCGACTATTCATTCTGATATGTTTGTGGGGTGGTTATAAACTTCTGAGCTTCTTAGGCTTGCTGATCGGAAGGTCGGTGGTTTGAATCCCCACAACGGGGTGAGCTCCCGTTGCTCTGTCCCAGCTCCTGCCAAGCTAGCAGTTTGAAAGCATGCCAGTGCAAGTAGATAAATAGGTACCACTGCGGTGGGAAGGTACCGTAAATGGTGTTTCCGTGCACTCTGGTTTCCGTCATGGTGTCCTGTTGCACCAGAAGTGGTTTAGTCATGCTGGCCACATGACCCGGAAAGCTTTCTGTGGACAAACACCGGTTCCCTTGGCTTGAAAGCGAGATGAGTGCCGCTACCCCATGGTCGCCTTTAAGCACTTATCTGTCCAGGGGTCCTTTACCTTTTTACCTGTACAACAATGAGCATTCATCCAAATCTCCTGTTAGTTCATCCCACACTGCTCAACACATTTCCCCATCCCCCACATACTGCAAAAAGCCAGTTTCATTTTTTAAAGTGGATTTGTTGTGCTTTCATTCACTTTAACTGTGCAAACCTAAAGGTTTGGTGTTGTGTTGAATCTCTCTGGCAAAATACCAACAGCCTGGAGCCTCCCTATGTTCCACTTATTTACAATGATCCAGAAGGACATGCATTAAGGATCCATGCATATAACATAGGGTTATAAAAGCACTTTTGCTTTAATAGCCGTCCTATAGAGTCCCCAAACAGTACTGTAATGTTCCTCAATTTTTATTTTTAAATCATGCTGAAAAGAAACCCGGTTCCCAGCTTTCAAAAAAAGTTTGGTGCATGCATGCAGTTACTAGAAAACAGGCTTCACCCAACTACCCTATTATCCAGAGTTAAATACGTCATCTGGCACAGAAATCCAGTCCTTAGGAAAATGAACAACGTTCACTCAGTGTGGATTTATATATTTCCACAAAGAGGCAGGCACAATTTAGCAGTCACCTTGCACCGCAGAGCTAAGCAGACCCTGGCTTTATGAAGAGGCAATAGTCAATCATGTGGTCATCGCAAGCTGAATAATTACTTTACACAACTACAGCACATTCACTGGAAAGGGAATGCATAAAACAGAGGTTTAACTGCTCAGCACAATGATTGGCTGCTGATTCCATTAACTAGTTCTGGGCCAGAATTGGGTACAATGAAAAGCTTTGGTGTTTGGTCTGTGGTTGCTACTTTACCTATGCAAGTCAAGTGGCGATTACTCCTTCCCCTCAAAATCAAGTCAGGACAGTCCACCCTGAAAATATTGCTCAAGTGACAGATAAAACTCCTTGCAGGATTCCTTCACTATTATCAGATGTTTATCACCAAACAGGTTTGTAAAGCATGGAAGTTTACTTCTGCCTCCTCCTGAACTCTCCAATTTTTAAAAAAACATACTTCCACGGGAATGAGGCATTCTAAAATAGAAGCTCTACAAAATGTTGGTTTCCTTTAAAAGGCTGTATTCTCAAAGATTGTGTCTTTGTACTCGGCTACATATATATTACATCACTCCCAGGGCCACATATATTATTTGTATATGTGTCCTGCAAGAAGCAGGATAGTGAAAAAGGTATTAGTCACGCGCTCTGAAGTCAGAATCCAGTTTCCTACCCTCAGCTGGTGCTCAAGACTATGACTCCAGTAATAACTGTCTCCCACTGAGATGAAAGCACTGACAAACACATCTTATCTTGATTAATGTACACTTTAGAGTTTTGTATAGAATATATACTTGAATTTAAAAACACACGTACGCACAGCTTTATATACAGAGATAGGCACGCTGTTTGTTGCACACATTTATAAATATGTAAAATTAATTATTTCAGGAATAACATTCATCTACTATTGACTGGAAATAGTATAGTAAATTTGAATTCAGGATCCCCCAGCTGGCAGAGTAGAAACACCAATGGACTGAGCTTGTACCACTGCCATCGTCCAGAGCAGGAGCAGGGAACTTGCGGCCCTCCATATGTCACTGGACTCCATCTTCCATCCTCCTCAGACAGTATGGCTAATAATAATAGTAATATTTTTTATTATTTATACCCCGCCCATCCGGCTAGGTTTCCCCAGCCACTCTGGGCATCTTACAGCATATCTAAAAATATACGCTGCCAGGGATTATGGGAGTTGTAGTTCAGCAACACGTGGAGGGCCAAAGGTTTGCCGCACCTAAGGAATTTGGGACCCCTTCCATTCAGAGAAAAGGCAAACAAGAGGAGACATGATAGAGGTGGATAAAATTATGCATAGTGTGTAAAAAGCCAATAAATTTTTATTCTTCTGTGCCTCTCATAACACTAAAATTCATGGACCTCAAATGAAACTGAAATGTTATGTATAAAAGAAAATACTTCTTCACAGAGTGCACAGTAGAACTATGGATTTTGATCCCATGAGAGGCAGTGGAGGCCACCAAATTGGATGCCTTTAAAAGAGGATTAAGGGACGCAGATGGCACTGTGGGTTAAACCACAGAGCCTAGGACTTGCCGATCAGAAGGTCGGCGGTTCGAAACCCTGCGACGGGGTGAGCTCCCGTTGCTCGGTCCCTGCTCCTGCCAGCCTAGCAGTTCGAAAGTACATCAAAGTGCAAGTAGATAAATAGGTACCGCTCCAGCGGGAAGGTAAACAGAGTTTCCGTGAGCTGCTGTGGTTCGCCAGAAGCGGCTTAGTCATGCTGGCCACATGACCCGGAAGCTGTACGCCGGCTCCCTCGGCCAATAAAGCGAGATGAGCGCCGCAACCCCAGAGTCGGTCACGACCGGACCTAATGGTCAGGGGTCCCTTTACCTTAAAAGAGGATTAGGCACATTCGTGGAGGGTAAGGCTATCAATGGCTACGAAAAATGATGGATGTGTCCTACCTCCAGGTTCTATTGAAAACCAGTTACTTGGGAAGAGTGCTATTGTGCTCATGTCCTGCTTGCATGCTTTCCCCAGGCATTTGGGTGGCCACTGTGAGAACAGGAAGCTGGAACAGATGGACCACTGGCTTGTTCCAGTAGGCTCATCTTATGTTCTTAGAAATGAACAAATCCACTCAAAAATGTTCCATGGGTTGCAAGTGGAGTACGCCTCCTTTGACTTTGATTGGCATAGGTAATGAAACAGTAAGGGACCCCTGACCATTAGGTCCAGTCATGGATGACTCTGGGGTTGCAGCGCTCATCTCGCTCTATTGGCCGAGGGAGCCGGTGTACAGCTTCCAGGTCATGTGGCCAGCATGACTAAGCCGCTTCTGGCGAACCAGAGCAGCGCACGGAAACGCCATTTACCTTCCCGCTGCAGCAGTACCTATTTATCTACTCACACTTTGACATGCTTTCGAACTGCTAGGTTGGCAGGAGCAGGGACCAAGCAACGGGAGCTCACCCCGTCACGGGGATTCAAACCGCCAACCTTCTGATCGGCAAGTCCTAGGCTCTGTGGTTTAACCCACAGCGCCACCCGCATCCCAATGAAACAGTACCATTATATATAAAAGTCATTATGGTTATAGAAAGGGGTTTCCCCCCCTCATCTTTTTCAGAACTACAGGTGCTTGAAATGTAAGCACTAAAACATAAATAATTGCAAATAGTCAGAATGGTTAGAAATAAACAGATCTGGTCCTTAAAGCAAAGCAAAATATCTTGTCATTATAAACTTCTGGTGCAGAGGTGCCTTGCATTTTACAAAGATACAGGCAATGCTTTTTATTTTATAAACTAAACACCTACACACGCAGCTGTACAATTTTGGAGTATATGAGGTCATCATCTATTCTGATATTAACTCAGGCATAATCTGAGTAAATACCGTCCAGTCTGTAAAAGACAAAAAGGGTTTAAAACTTAGGAAACTACTTAACATCCCCTACCCTTATGATAATGTTTGCAATTCATTGCTTTAAAATGGTTTGGGGCATGCAGTTTTGAAAGAAAAAGATAAACCACCTTTCAAATATGCTGATAATATCATGGTTGCAGATTATATCCCTGTATGGGACAGTTGCATATTCCTGCATTGCAGGGCGTTGGACTAGAGATGATCCTCAGGGTCCCTTGGATACGCAAGGAAGAAACTTTAATTCACATTAAA